GTGCTGGTTTGTTGGTCGTTGTTGTACTGTGCGTGACGTGGTGCGTGTGTTGTGTGTGTTTGTGTGTCTTGTGTTTTGGTCGTGTGTGTGTGCGTGTTGATTTGGCGTGTGTGATGTGTGTGTGGGTGTGTGTGTGTGTGTGTTTTGTGTGTGTGGTGTGTGCGTGTTGAATTTGCGTGTGTGTGTGTGTGTGTGTGTGTGTGTGTGTGTGTGTGTGTGTGTGTGTGTGTGTGTGTGTGTGTGCGTGTTCGACCCCCACTCGCTGGCGGCGGGCGGCGGGGGGCGCCAGCTAGACGCCTGCGCCGATCCTGGCCAGGCCGATCCTGCGCCCAGTATCGTCGTCATCCCCGCACGGGAAAGGCCTTCTCCAAGGAGGAGGGAGGAGGAGGGGGGTGGAGGGAGGATGGAGGGGAGGAGGGAGGGAGGAGGGAGGAGGGAGGAGGAGGAGGAGGAGGAGGGAGGAGGAGGGAGGAGGGAGGAGGGAGGAGGGAGGAGGGAGGAGGAGGAGGAGGAGGAGGAGAGGAGGAGGAGGAGGAGGATGAGGAGGGGCGGGCCTTCTCAGAAGGCTCGGCAGTCACCTGGCCTTCTGAGAAGGTTTCGAAGCCATCCCCGAAGACGCAGAAAAAAAACCCTCGGATGGCCGGGGGGCTTCTCAGAAGCCCCGCCGCCTTCCGAGAAGGCCTCCTTCTTCTCACTTCCCCCCCTCGCCCGCCGCCGGGCCAGAGGGTCCCGCGCCGATCCCAGAAGTACGCGCGGACCTCATCCTCATCCCCATCCCCATTCTCATTGTCATCCGCATCCTCATCCCCATCCTCATCCCCATCCTCATCCTCATCCCCATCCTCATCCTCATCCTGATCCTCTTCCCCATCCTCATCCTCATCCCCATCCTCCTCCCCATCCCCATCCCAATCCGCAGCCTCATCGCCATCCTCGTCGGCGCCCAGTCTCGTTGGCCATGCCCTCCCGGCCAGGCCGGCACGGGGTGCATGTGCGCAGGCCCCGGGGGCTCGGGGGGCGGGCCTTGCACAGCTGGCCCCCCCGCCCTCGAAGGCCACGCCGCCTCGCAGCACCCCTCGGCGTCCTCCTCGTCGTCCTCGTCCTTGCCCCTCGCTCCTCGCCCTCGCCCTCGTCCTTCTCCTCGTCCTCGTTCCTGGACCCCGTCTGCCTCCTCGTTTTCCTCCTCCTCCTCCTCCTCCTCCTCCTCCTCCATCTCCTCCTTCGCCTTCTGCTCCTCGTTCTCGCCCCTCGTCTTCGCCCCTCGTCCCCCGTCCTCACGCACCCCTTGTGCGCGACCATGGGCCCCCCGAAGCCCGTGCCAAAGCGATCCGCAGATCCAAGCTCCCAGCGGATCCGTGGAGGCGCAGGCGCCGGCGGCCCCCGCGCGTCGAGCCCTTCGGCCGGCAGCGGCCACGCCTCCCCTCCAGGGGAGGAGGACCCGCTGTGGGTGTGGAGGAGGAGGGAGGAGGGAGGAGGGAGGAGGGAGGAGGGAGGAGGGAGGAGGGAGGGAGGGAGGGAGGGGAGGGCGGGAGGGAGGGAGGAGGAGGGAGGGAGGGAGGGAGGGAGGGAGGGAGGGAGGGAGGAGGGAGGGAGGGAGGAGGGAGGGAGGGAGGGAGGGAGGGAGGGGAGGGGAGGGAGGAGGAGGAGGAGGAGGAGGAGGAGGAGGAGGAGGAGAGGGAGGAGGAGAGGAGGAGGAGGAGGAGGAGGAGGAGGAGGAGGAGTAGGAGGAGGAGGAGGAGGAGGAGAGAGAGGAGGAGGAGGAGGAGGAGGAGAGGAGGAAGAGGAGGAAGGAGGAGGAGGAGGAGGAGCAGAATAGGAGGGGGAGGAGGAGGAGGCGGAGGAGGGAGGAGAGGAGGAGGCGACGAGGAGGAGAGGAGGAGGAGGAGGAGGAGGAAGGAGGAGGAGGGGAGGGAGGGAGGGAGGAGGGAGTGGAGGGAGGGAGGGAGGGAGGGAGGAGGACGAGAAGGAGGAGGGTCGAGCGCCCGCCAAAGTGGACGAAGGACCCGTGGGTCTGGGGCCTCCGCGCCAGACCCCACGGATAAGGGACAAACACCTCCCGACGCAAGAGGCCAATGCCGCCCGATTTGGCGATGGAGCGCGCCACGTCTCAAACGGGACCCGTCGCTGACCTGCGCGCCTTCGCCAGGGGAACGGACGGTGACATAAGCCTAAAAGCGTGGAGGTCCGCGCGGACTTCTCGGATCGGCGCTGGGGCCCCCGCGCGGCGCCTCCCCCTGGCGCGCTCCGCGCGCCAGGGGGAGGGGGCTACCCAGGCGCGGACCCAAGAACTCCGCGCGGACCTCCGAGCTGTTATGTCCATGCCATGCTTCGCTCCCCTCGAGGACCTGCTGTGGGTGTGGCCGACGGCCCTCTCCTGCTCCTGCCCCGTCGTCGTCATTGCGGTCTGCGGCTTCACCTGGGACAGCTTCATGCTCTTCCGACTCCCTGAGCACCATGTTCTCATTAGTGATGGCGTTCCCGACGCTCGTGGGGGGTGCCTGCGCAGCACCAATGAGGCCCAGCTGGGGCTGAGTTGGTCCTCCCGTGTACTGCTCTCGAGAAAGGAAATCGGCAGCCGATTCCACAGCCGCACATTTGTCGCCCAAGAGTTTGGCACCATACGGGGACAACGTGTTGAACTCGTATTTCAAGGCCCCTCAGAGGCCCGCAAGCAATTGCGCGACACCTGCATCTTCAGTGCTCTGGACCTGGGCCGTGACTGCAAGCTGGGCGTTCAAGCTCTCCATCGCTGCTCTGGCTTCCTTAATCTGTTCCGAATCCTTGGCATGCTTAGTCACCATATCAGCGGCCTGCAACTCCAAGCTGACTACCATGTCAGTGGCATTCTTCAGGACAGATCTTTGGTGCTGGATCTGATTCGTGAGACGTTGGGCCTTCTGGGCGGGGGTGCGGGTCTGGAAGACTTCCTCTTTCACAGCTTCCTGGGCTTCAACAGGACGCTTGTCTCCAGGTGCAACTCCTCACCCCTTAAAGAGCTTCACGAGATTCTGGGCCATCAACAGGTCATTGGTAGTGGCATCTGCTTCCTGAGGCAGCGAGACAGGGATGCAGTTACGAGACCAAGGGGGTACACCACCTCCGTTCTCTTCAACTGCACCTGCTCCTGCTCCACCACCACCCCCTCCTCCACCGCTGCCATTTACGAACCCACCCTGGCCCTTTCCGTCCTTGCCCTCGCCCTTCAACTGGGAGCCCCAGCTGGTCCAGCGGAGCCATGCCTCCTCTGCCGGCGGTTGCGGGGTGCCGCAGAGGTTGCAGAAGGCCTTCTTGCGGCTGGCCCAGGTTCAACCTGGGCAGCCGTCACAGGGGCACAAGATGTACGATTTGGCACGACGCTTCCAAGAGGTCATGGGGGCGAGGGAAGGCGCGAAACTGTAATGGTGCGGGCAGCAGCGGCGCACACCTGAAAACACGGGGGCCTTGAGCCGCCCCCTCGGCTGCGTTTCAAGCTCCAAGCGCGGGAGCAACGTTTGGAGTTTGAGCCAAAATGGCTTGAGCCAAAGCTACGGGGAGGGGGAGGAGGAGGAGGAGGAAGAGGAGGAGGAGGAGGACGAGGACGAGGACGAGGACGAAGACGAGGACGAGGAAGACGAGGACGAGGAGGTATTCGTCGTCGTCGTCGTCGTCGTCGTTGTCGTCGTCGTTGGCGCCCCCCTCTGGAGGTCCACCTCTCCTTCGCGGGCGCGCACCTCGCCGGCGGCGGCTTCGAGGGGCGCGTGTGCCTCGGGGAGGCGTGCGGGCAGGTGGGGTTCGTGGTGGCCGCCTGGCTGTCCGACGCCTTCGGGGGCCTCGGGTTCGACGCCCTCTTGGGTCTGGGGCCTCCGCGCCAGGCCTCCGCCTCCGCCGCAGGATCTCGTTGCTCGTTCCTTGTTCCTCCTCCTCCTCCTCCTCCTCGATCCTCCTCCTCCTCCTCCTCCTCGTTCCTCCTCGTTCCTCCTCGATCCTCGTCCTCATCCTCTTCCTCCTCCCCCCCTTTCTCTCCTCTCTCCTTCGTGGTCGCACCTCCCCTTGTCATCCTTCCTTCTACTCTTCCTTCCTCGTCTTCTTTTCGTGCCTCCTGACCCCCCCCTCTCTTTCCTGCGCCAGGAGTAGAGTAATGCTACTTCTCCTGCTTCTCTTCTCCTGTCTCCCCTCCTCCTCCTCCTTCCCCTCCCCCTCCTCCTCTCCTCCTCCTCCTCCTCATCATCATCATCATCATCCTCTTCCGCCCCCCCCTCTTCCTCCTCCTCCTCCGCCTCCTCCTCTTCAGTCTCTTTCTCATCCGTCTCCCTCCTCCTCCTCCTGCGTCCTCATGCTGCTATTCCCCTTCCTCCTGTGTCCTCATGTTGCTGTTCCTCCTCCTGCTAACAAGTATCACAATGGGTGCGACCTGCGCTCTCGAACATCATGAAGGGCGCACACCGGTATTTGAGCAAACATGAGCGACGAGACCTACCAGACACGGCAGTTGATCCCATCACCCAGCAGGTACTGATTGCCGAGTTGGTATGAGGCAAACGCGATGGCACAGACATCACCAAAAAAGCGGAATACACCACGCCATGCAAGAACTCCGTGAAGCAGCTCAAGAAGAACTACCGCAGAGAAGGCAGTACGACCTCGAGGATCTGGAGGCAGCAATACCCAAGTTCAGTCCAACGACGGCAAGAGGAGCTGACCAATGGCAACCACCCGAACTACGAGCCCTTTCTGCAGAGGCCACGCACCGCCTCGTGAATATAACCGACTTGTGTGAGAAGAAGCTCAACAAGCCGTACCAGTTTTACCACGTCTGGTACCACTTATTAGTCAAGGCAAGATCGAACGCAGCAGGGGAAGAACAACCGATTGGCTTACTACCTTTCCCAGTGCGGCTATGGGGTAGGATGGCAAAAACAGAGCTGCAATATTGGTGTGCTTAAAAGGCGGGCTATTGGGACGCGGCCATCCAAGCTTCATCAGCTTCAGGAGCAGCACTCCTCTCCATGGCACTGGACGAGACCAGTGCGAAGCTCAAGTGCACCTCCTACAGCACCTTCTACCTGGACTGGGAGAAATTATACGACAGTGTGGACCTCAGCATACTCGTCAGACGGGGTATACAATTGGACTACCCGAGGGTCAACCTGTACATGAGCATGTTGATGTACTTGCCCCCAAGAGTTGTACGGGCATGCCAAGATCACGCAGCACCGATATGCCCATGGAGCGGCATCGTGGCAGGATGCCCTGCGGCCAACCACGCTGCCCGAGCCATGATCTACACCATACTGGACATCACCCACAGGTCAGCACCGCTGGCAATCACACCGGAGTTCGTGGACGACCCATTTACGCGAGCCGATGGGAGCCGAAGCCGACTTCAAGGAGCAGTTCCCCAAGGCCAGTAATACGCTGGTCCAGGCATGCTTGGACTCTAGGCTGGTGGTCTCAAGCAAGTCAGCGGCCCTCACGGACTGTAGCGCGACCAAGAAGCACATCATAGAGAACGTGAAGAGCAAATGCATTGGAATCCAGACGCCAAGTTTCGTCAAGGACCTGGGCATCGATGCTGCGCTTGGACGTAGAAGGACAACCTCGACCCGACGAAAGCGTGCCAAGCAGGCACGTGAACGAGCTTTAAGGGCAAGGCGTTTCACGAGGAACAAAGGACGATGGAGTAAGAGAACGGCCGTGTTGTACAACGCCAACCTGCGCGCCAAACAGAACTACGATTGGCCAGTAACAGGACTCAGCCCACGCGGAGTTCGAGCAGCACGTGCGCAGGCAGCGGACATGGCAGGCTGCAGTGCGGGAGGCAGGCGCACGTCGACGATCAACGCACTGTTTTATGGAGACAAAGGACCTGGGACGGTATGCCTCCAACGACAAGTCAAGGAATGGTTATTCACCTGGCAGGGCGAACCAGCGGCACGCGATCGTCTACGCCATGGGTGGCGCGCGAACTTCAGCAGGCTCACGCAGATGAAGCCCAGGGGCAAGTGGCACTCAATGTCAGGGCCTATGGGAGCCCTCATTCTCTCGCTACAGCAGATCCATTGGGAACCGCGCGAGCCGGATGAATGGCAAGGTCCCAGAGTCGAAGTATGGAGATTCACCGACGGCCAGGTTCTGGACTTCAATGACATCCTGCTGAGCACACTTGCCAAAGATATTGACCAGCAGCTCTGGCAGAAGGCCAAAGACCACCACTGCGGCAATGGCATGTTGCACGGCATGGACACGACGGCGCTTAGGCAATCCATACAACGTTTCCGCAAAGAAGATAAAGTACAAGCAGCGGGGGCCGTAGAAGCAGTGGCTCGCGGGACAATCTGGGCAGGAGAAAGATGCCGAGCGGCGGAGCATGCCGCGGGCGGTATCTGCACGAGGTGCGGCACAGCGCCCGACGCGCTCAAGCGCAGGATCTACGAGTGCGAGATGGATAGCAACCTCAACGTGGAGGACATCACAAGGACACACAACATTTGCAAGCAGGCACTGGATGAGATGGAGCAGGGCCCGGAGAGCGAGGCCTTCTGGCCACGTGGACTTCTACCTCGACGTCGTAATCATGTTCCAGAACCCCCTGTCTGGGGGCAGTGGGATGGAGGACGCTGGAGTGCCGAGCACAGAGGGCCCCTAGTAGTGCCTGATACGATGGCAGCGACAAGGACTCACTACTGCAAGTATGCCTACATCGACGGCTCGGGCACCGGCAACGACGCGCGCATCAATCGCCCTGGGGGGGGGGGTCGCATTTCAGCTACGCAACTCGACAGAGAGACCAACGACGGGAGCAGGGTGTGAAGTGCCCTGGCGCCATGCAATCGAGAAGCAGGACCTCGCCGACAAGGGGCAGGCAGATCTACCAAGACCAGACCCTGCTAACCAGCCAGCGCTCGACATCATACACGACGTGGGAGTCTGGGCTTCTTCGTGGGCGATGGGCCTCGACGACCGGGAGATCAGCGACAGTAGCTGGAAGATGTGGTGCGTACCGTGCATGGATACATGGCTACAATTACCAGAACAAGCAGACCTACTACGACGGCCCACAGGAAGATATCAAACCACGGACGTCAACCAGATAGCGAAGGAAATGCGTGATGAGTCATGGGCCACAACAAGGGGCCGAAGACCAGCGGTATTCGGACATCTTCAAACTCTACATGGGCGAGAACGTGAAGTCTACGTTGCACGCTGGTGGGCCGGCATCCGAGAAATCAAAGAACACTCCCGACAGCTACTGCAAGATCGAGCACCCACCTTCGAAGAGGATCATCCAGAATATTATGATGGTGAACAGCAACCTATGGCAAATCCCGAGGAGCGGAGCTTGGCAGGCCCGCGCCTTGGGTTCACGTCGCCCGGGCAGGTGACCAGCGCCCAGGGCGCCCCTTCCACGGGGGGCGGGGGCGCAGCGCGAGGTGCTGGCGCCCAGCCCGCTTTGCTGGGCGATCCCAACCCGAACGATGGAAGAATCGATGGCGCGACGCACAAGGGATACTTTGGCACAGTCGACGGCGAACAATCAGTACCTGCAGCAGAGCATGCGGCATTGTTCTGGGCCCTCATGCCTACCAAAGGTCATATCACCATCTACGCGGACTGTCAGCAAGTGGCTTATGGATGGCACCAGCAGCTCTACCAGAGGCCGCCTGGGACAATGATTGGGTGGTGGCAAAGACGAATCGGCCCATTGATTCAAAGACGACCAGGACGCGATGATGGAGTCAGAGTCATCAAATGCTACCCCCACCTCGACAGCGAGTGCATAGCTAAGACGAAGCAGCCGCCTGATATCCGCATTGGCAACGCAATTGCGGACACCCTGGCACAACGAGCAGCCGAAGAAGCACGCTGCGACATCAAGCAAGAAGTGCAGCAGCTGGCGGACACGGAGAGCTTGCTCAGAAAGGTTCACAGGCGAGCGGCAGCCATCAACTTCGAGATCTGCAAGGATGGGGACCCGAAAAGGCATGACCGACCACCACCTGTACCAAGACATGCCGCCAGACAGCGACGACAGCAATTAAAACAAGAGACTGGGCACAACATGAACAAGCATAATGGCCAGTGGGTTTGCAGAGAATGTTGGAAATCGCCAGACAAGTACAGTGTGATTGACTGGATGAAGACTAACAGATGCGTTGGAAGACAGTACGAAACCCATCGAGCAGATCATGGACACGCAGCACCAGTACCCAACAACGAGATGATAGACGTACATGGCAATGTGGTCCACCCGAGCCACCACATCGCCGCCGCCCATGGCCAGTTTGGGTGTTGGAGGTGTGCGCTGGTGGCCTCTCGCAACAGCGACGGACGAGGAAGACTGACGCTGCTCGCCGACGAGTGCAGAGACAGGGGCACGCCCAGTGGAGAGACGGTAGTGAAGCGATTACGGATGGGGCTACCGCCCAAGGCTGGACAATGCTGGCCGGATGGAAGGTGGCCCTCGAACGGGGGAAAGATGCCCAGGGTTCGACGAGCAGCTGATGGACACCGTCGTGCTGTTCGAGGTTGACCTGTGGGAGTTCGATTTCACGGTCCGGGCGGAGGTCGACCAACGTCCTTCCCCCCGCAGAGATATTCTGCCTTGGAGTGGTAGTGAGGGGGAGGGTGATGCCTGCTGCAGCACGCCTCGCGCCCTCCCAGGCACTTGACGGTGCCCGACGCGCGCCTAGCGAGGGCGCGCGCGGGGCCGCGGCGGCGTGGTCGACCGCGGACTCCCGTGCATCCTCGATCCTCCCCCTCCGCCTCCTCCCCCTCCGTCTCCCCCTCCGCCTCCCCCCCTCTTCGTTGTCTGTTTCCTTCCCACATCAGCGATCTGCTCATCTGTTGCCAGCGATTTGCTCATTTGTTGCAGCCCGCCGTTGCGCTCGTGCGACAGGACGGGGGCCAGCAAGCTCAAGAGCCGCTGCCTCGCCTCACCGCCCACCCCCCTCACGCGCGATCGACCAGGACGGGATCTCATCTGGCGTGCTCCTGGGGCCTCCTGGGGCTTCTGGGGGCAACTCGAGGCCTCCTGGGGCCTCCTGCCTGTCGCCTCCTGGGACCACCTGGGGCTTCCTGGCGGCTCCTGGGGCTTTCTGGGGCCTCCTGGAACCTCCTGGGGTCTCCCAGAACATCCTGGGGTCCTCGCGGGGTACCCTTCCTTACTGTACACATAGATTGTTGATTCTATGTGTAAATGGGGAAGAGAGAAAAAGAGAGAGAGAGAGAGAGAGAGAGAGCGAGCGAGAGAGAGAGAGAAGGAGAGGGTTCACACCATAAGAACGAAGCGTATGGCAATGATAAATGTTCTATACTTATGATCATAATGTAACATACACATAGTTACATGCACGTGTATATATAAATATATATGCATCCACCGATGTGTGTGTACGTGCAAGTGAGTGGCAATAGCATATACGTATGCACGCACAGGTGGTAATGTGCGTAGACATGAACATGCTCATATATTGCACAACGTAAACGATTGCATAGCAAGCGTGAGGATGTGTGCCTACGGGCAAAGTATACCCAGCCCTTCCCCCATGTGCGGCGACTATCAAAAAGGAGCGTTCCTTACAACAATGTAACGCGTATATATATAGATATGTATGTATGTATATACATATATATACATACATATATATATATAGAGAGAGAGAGACACACACACACACCATTCTTGCCCACGAACGTCTCGACAGTTTCGCAGCTTGCAGATCCCAGAGCGACGACGTTCTGGTGTGCGTAGGACGTCGCTATGCTGGACCCCCAGCAGCCCTCGAAAGTGGCGATAGCTTCGCAGTTCGCACCCCCGGTGTGCGGCGGTCACTATGCTGGACCCCCCAGTAGCCCACGAACCCGGCAACAGTTTCGCAGTTCGCAGCCCCCAGGAACAGCGAGGTTTTTGTCTGGTGTGCATAGGACCTCACTTTGTTGGACCCCCCAGCGCGTAGGACGTCTCTGGGCTGGACCCCCCGACAGCCCTCGAAATAAACAACAATCTTCAAGTTCGCAGCCCCCACGGGCGGCGAGGTCTGATTCTGGTGTGCACAGGACGTCGCTATGCTGGATCCCCCCGCAACCCTCGAAAGAAAGTGAAATTTCGCAGCGCGCAGCCCCCAGGAACGACGAGGTGTCATTGTGGTGTGCCTAGGATGTCACTTATGCTGGGCTCCCCAGGAGCCCTCGAACCTGGTGACAGCTTCGCAGTTCGCAGCCCCCAAGGACAGCGAGGTCTGATTCTGGTGTGCATAGGACGTCACTTTGTTGGACCCCCCCGCGCGTAGGACGTCACTATGCCTGATCCCCCCGCAGCCCTCGAAATAAGCAACACATT